TGTAAAATAACAGAAATTATTCAAGATAATCAGTCATGTGACACAAGCTACTCACTGAAATACAATAACAGCTAGCTAACGTCATACTTTCAAATACAACAGAAACTTAATGTCTTATTATTTTGTGATGAATCTACTTCCTGCTTCTTCAAAATGTTTGTTCACACAGCAGCAGAGGTAAGGATGAAACAGAAAGACAGAACTGTGTCACATGACCACAGATGTTTCTGCAAAAGCTGCTGCCCACATTCTGCAAGAATACAATGAATCTAACCCCACTAACTGCATGGAGGAAGCCAGAGAAAACCCAACCCAATAAATAAGGATGTGAGTTATTGTCTCTTCACCGAGGATAGACTGACAAGAAACTTTTTTCTCAAATACAGTAAGTACAGGAGATTTTAACAGGTGAAATGTTTAATTTAACACTTGCAGAGGAACAGAAATCATCAATGAAAATGCTAACTACCTCTATATATGAGCGTCCCACCACGCCTTGAGTCTAAAACTCTACAAAAAAGCTAAAAGTAACAGAAAACTAATGTCAATGAATTAAATGACCAAAAGAAAATGAGACAAATAAATGATATAAACATCAACATTAAAAAATCATATCTAAAATAGCTTTCAAGTTATTCTTATTAAAAGAATTGGAAAAGCAGCATGATGGTGCAGTGGTTAGCACATTTTTAAAAAATCTCAAATTTATCACAGTGTAGTCTGACAGCTGGAGGTTCGGCTGATCTCACAGGATTACACGCAACAAACTAGAACACAAGGTAAAGCTGTACTCTGCGGAAACACAAATCTAAAATAAATATTTTATTTCCATTTATTTTATCACTCACTGGCCTTTCCATGCTGCTGTTTATTTTTAAAATGATGGATGCACCTTATAAGACACCTTTAAACATGAAAGGTTACTGTCCAGAACCAGAGCACAAACAAACAACTTGAAATGAAATAAAATTTAAAAGAAATTAATTTCATTGATGAAGCAGGTCTTCTCGGTGTGTGTTCTGTACTGTGATGTAGTAGCTGCAATGACAGCACTGCAAAAGAGATATAAGAGCAGAAACCAAACGTTTGCACTTCATTCAGTTAGGAAACAGTTTAACAACTTCTACATAGAAAATGTATTCCTCAGTACTGTTGGGCAAGTTACTTGGAAAAAGTAATTAGCTATAGTTACTTCTTGAAAAAAGTAAGTTATTAACTAAGTTACAATATTATAAAAGTAACTAAATACAAAGAAAAGTAACTATGGTGTTACTTTAGAAAAAAAGTTTAACCCTCTGAGGTCCAGGGTTGATTTGACCTCTACATTTCAACTTTCAAGAACTTTTTATCATGCCTTGTTTGGTATCATTCTTTTCAGCACAACCTCACATCTGAATTTACAGTTATGTTTTCAATAATACAATTGATTAAAAAAAATATGTAAATTACCAAAACAAACAACCCCC